GATCTCCCCTTGTTTTGTTACTCTCCTCTTTGAGGGAGAGCTATTTCTGTTTACTGGGACTATAAAAGGACACCATACGCGAAACATTTATTCTCAGTTGAATAATGCTTTCTTAAAGCCTACACCTGCGTACTTTTGTCATTACAGCATTATAAATTATTATTCATTTTTTGATTAATACTTCTTTCCATTCAATTTCAGTAACTACTTTTGTTCTTTTTACTGTAAATCTCAAACCGTTATCTAACATCTGTTATTAAGCAACTTCGTTCAAAAGTAAAGAATAAGACACCGACTAGAATTTACATCGCTTTTAACTCAAGAAGCATGCCATAATGTGAACGATGTCTTAACGACTAGACCACAGCAACTAGCTTACACTCATTTAAATCTAGCGATATTACCGTACTTCCCAACTGGTTAGACGCGCCCTATAATTAGCTAGATTTTTTGGGGGAGGGGAATATTTGAGGATTTAATAGCTTACAGTATTAGCAAGTACAAGTCGCCTTCTCTAAGGTGTCATTTCTCTTTCTGGTACAACACAATTTGGACCTATATAAAATGTAACTGTCAGCCTGTATTATGTGGCGTACGGTATGCGTAGATGAACGAAAGGCTTACGGTGCTGTTAGGAAGCTGTCCAATCGTTATCATCCATACTCGAAAGAAAAAAAGAAAGTCTCTCTCTCTCACACACACACATATATATATATATATATATATATATATATATATATTCACATTATATTTGTTTCCTAGTTTATTTTGTTGATAATTTTTTAAATGTTTAAATTAATGTCAAACGTTAACTGCCAAATATATCAATTTGTGTTTTTTTCAAATTAACCGCAATATGTCCATATATGTTAATTCCTTTTCTTCTTTCCCCACTTGTTTCCTCACACCCCTGCTTCCACATTTGCTTTCTTATATCTTTACTTCTCTTTTTTCTCTTTGTCTCGTTTCCTCCTCTTCCCCCTCTTTCTATCACCTTACATCAACTTAAAACTAACCCTCAAAAGTGTATAAAAATAATACGTAAATTTAAAACCATTTTTTTTTTACCTTTGGAAATGTGATTTGATGAACCAGAAAAACCACTTACCTGGGGAAATAAAATATAATCAATAGACCCTTAAGAGTGTCCGTTTTAAAATTTAAAATTTTTAAATTAATGTTTTAAAGTTTAAAATTAAATTAATAGTTGCTCTGGTTTGACATTGAGCTCTCTGGATTACATCCTCCTTGGGATTATCCATACGGATTACCAAACTTTTCATTACCTAACTATCTATCTATCTATCTATATATATATATATAAATTTCAGCATTAAATAACTCATAGCGGTTGATATGCTGCTAAAGAAAAACAAGCACCCAACCACACACCCAATCAGTATTTTTTTACTACGATGTTCAATCTATACAAAACACAAAAACCACTCGATGTAGAGGGTTACAGAGTAAGAGGGATAGTTTATGGAGATATGTGGGGAAGATAACGGTTAACTGTAGACGAACAGGTTAAGATTGAAGTGAGGAGAAACGAGGAAAAGATAATAAAGAAACAGGGTTTAGGAAAGACAGAAAATGGCGATTTACATTGCCTTTAAATTGTTTAATATTGTAGGTGACAGGGAAACAAGAAATCGGGAGGGAGTTCCACAGGCAAGAAGTGCAGAGAAAAGAACCTATTAGAATAGAACAGCCGGTTGATATCTAGTTCAACAGTAAATCGGCGAGACCTAGTTGCTAATCTAATAGCACGCTTAAATTTATGCAATCGAGGCTCTACAAAAAAAAGCTCATCAGAACAGTTGCCATGAAAATATTCATACGAAAGCCAAAAGAAAGCCACGTCACTAACGGGATATACGTTATTTATTACATCAGAATGAAAATTGGACACTTATGTTATATGTCTAGGGTTCGTGATTGCTTGTATCTCGTGACTGGGATTCGTGAGTGTTGACAAACTTCTTTTTACAACTTGACATTTAACTACTAAGACACTGGGTGATTTTTGAGGGCATTTTTCAGTCTTAGCATATAGTGGGTTATCAGTTATAGTTAAGTGTATGAGTGTTGAAACAAATGAGTTTGATTTGACCTTGTTAGTTAGATAGCCCACCATAAGAGGGGTATAAAACTAGAAAATCAAATTGTAAAGTGAAACAACAAATTTATATACATATAAATCAATTAAAGTCTCTATAAATAAAATTAATGTATTTTGGTTGATACAAGGTTGTCAAAATGTTCGTAGTGGTCCTTGCAAGAATGAGTTTATGTGTACGTAGGCAGGAACGTATGTATGTATGTATGTATGTATGTATGTATGAGCGTTATCGTAGGGTAGGAATGTCTTTGAAGTAATCGCTCAGTCTTAAAATGTTCCGTTCGTTTATTAAGTATAAAAGAGGTGAGAGAGAAAGGTTGAGATAATAATAACGATCGCTTGACGTTTGTCAAGGGACGTGTTAATACGCTCGTCTTCTTCTCTCTGGTGACAGGCGAACTTGCCCGTCTTTTATTTTGTTTGCGGGACTTGAAAAGGTCATTTAGGAATTCACTCCCGGATATGATTCGGGCCTTTTCATTGGACGACGAACAAACTTCGCGTCGGCTCGCGAAAAAGTCCGTAAAAGAATTTTGTTTCTGAGAATTCGAAGTTTTTTTTAATTTTGTTTTTAAATGTTTCATAGTTTTCTATTGGCCGAAAAACATTTCGCATCAAGGTGTGAAATTTCACGAGTTTTGTTTTGGATTCGCTTTTGCGTGTGTGTTAAGCAAAGTTTGGAAATTCGAGTCTATTTAATTTCTAACAAAATCAATCAGTTAGCATTTGAATTTTAAATCTAGATCTTGTTTTGTTCACTACAAGCATACGGGAAGTATATTATTATCGCGACTTCTTATTCTCCTCGACCTCCTAAAAGGTCGCCATATTTATGTAAATTAATGATTGATAGTAGCAATAAAACAAGGGACAGGAATTAGAAAGAAGGAAGTATTTGTTGCTAGATCAGTTACGGCTGAGTAGTGAGTTCGATCCTCTTGGGAGTCCCATACTTGAGGCCGTGTGCCACATTTAAGCTATACTTTAAATCACTAAGAGCTAAAATAGGGCACTTTGCTGTGGTGTAGCAAGTTTGTCTCGCTAGATCAGTTAAGGATGAGTAGTGAGTTCGATCCTCACTGGGTACCCCATACATGCGGCCACATCTAAGCTACGTTTAGTAAATTGCTTACAGCTGAAAGAAATACGTATCAAAAGATAGATTAAACAATACAAGTTAACTGTGTGAATCACTGAAAAATGAAAACAAGAAAGTACCCGAACTTAAAGTGGGTGTCTGTTGTATGGTCAGTGCTTAGCAGGGTTGATATATTTAGTAATAAGTAGCGAACGGGACTACATTTGAAAGACCAACGTTACTAAATTGACTTACTTTCATTAGTAGCAGAGGTTAGACGGGATTATTTTTTCATGCAGCCCCAAAGTTAGCAGAAGCGAAATTTACTGATATTAGACGTTTAAATGTAGTAGTCTTGAAAGTAAATACAATCCCACTAGGTGCTCTGTTATTGTAATTTTGTGCCAGACTAAGTTAAGCTAAAGTTTTACTTTAAACAATAAAGTGGTTGTTAGCAAAGTAGTTCCCAGAGGCAAGTGATCATATTCTTCACTGGGTGTCAATCTAAGCTGATCTTGTACCAGACTAAAAACGCGTCGTATCTTGTATGATCTCGTATGCACTATCATGAAATGGGTATATTCTAAGTGTACAACACATCACTGGTGAAAGACTTATCTAAACATCTCATTGATTTCGCCCCATTTTGAAGACTGGTTATCATTTTTAATGTTTTGTCTCCAGGGACTGTTGCGAATCGTACCAATCAGCCATATTGTCGTTATGTCTGATGACAGATATAAACACTATTCCCACGGAACCATGACAACCAAGTATCCGGGCAAATTTAACAGAAAATCAGACGGTCCATTTTGCCTTATAAGCAGAAGTGCCAAAAAATACCAAACAAAAGATACTCTAGCCCATTCCCGCCTGTAGAAATGAACTGAGCCAGATGATTTCGTAACACGATAGTTAAAGATACCATTTTAATTAATTAATAAGTTAATAACATCTTCATATTAATATATCTTTATTAATAATAATATAATAATAGGTCTACCATACGCCCAGGCATTGAATATTACTGTCACATCTGGTCTGGTGTTTCTGTTATGTATTTACAGATTATTGATAAAATACAAAGACAAATGTACAGTATTATCTTTCAAAGCCGGGAGTCTCTGTTTCCCCTTTGGTACCTAGACTTTACGAATTTAAGCGCAGTACTAGATTGGCAGTTAGGTCTAATCATTTTACAGTAAAATGGCTAGATGTAACCGTAAGTTCTATGCTAACAGTTTCTTCCTTCGTGCTTCTCACTTGTGAAACTCTTTTCCAGTTTCTTACTTTCCAGTCAACTTTGATCTTCAAAGATTTAAATTCAGTGTCAATCGTTATCGTTTGTCTTCTTAATTCCTGTTTTTTTTTTTCATTGTTCTCTCTCCTTAACAATGTTTTATTTCTTCTTATATTCTGTCACCCCTTGCGTCTTAGTGGCGTTATTGCCTTGCTTGGGATGAAATGATTTTGAAGATGTAGTCGTATAGCTTTGACAGTGTATCTGGCACAGGATTTAACATCATTTGGCCAAGGAATGAATACTGGAGTCCGAACGATATGACACTATAACACAAAAATGGCAACTGCTTTAGAATTTTATCGGACTAAAATAGCAAGGTATGCATGGAATAGTTGAATTCCAGGCAGATATCGGCTGTATATGAAAACTGCAGGCGGCCACATGTGATGCAAAAATGGGGCTGCCAGCGACTGACAAGGATGATAACCCAACAATGTGGGAACACTGCCTCCAAACACATCCCAATTCAATACTGGTGCTGCCCACCCAATCAGGATTACGGCCACAGAATGTTGAAACACCGGTGCCTGTACGATCACCGAAGTTAAGCAACGTCGAACCTGGCCAGTACGTAGAAAGGTGACCTCTTGGGAATACCAGGTGCTGTAAGCTTGGATGTGCGGGTGGTATAATGGATAATGGCTCGGAATTGTTAATCGGTGAGTCGAGTTCTCGTCGATCACCGAAGTTAAGCAACGTCGAGCCTGGTCAATACCTAGGTGGTTGACCACTTGGGAATACCAGGTGTTGTAAGCTTGGATGTGCGGGTGGTGCAATGGATAATGGTTCGGAATTGTTAATCGAAGAAACGAGTTCCAGTTCCAATTGGATTCGTTGTATTCAATCACATGCAAATACTCTTGGGAAATGTATGAATCCATCTCTTCTCCTCCCACAGCTATGGGTTAATTATTAAGACTTGCATCACTAAAACATTATTATCTCAAAAATGAATAAATAAAATAAATAAATAAATAAATAAAAGAAAGAAAATTGCGTAAAAATATTTAAATTTCGGCATTAAATAACCCATAGCGGTTGATATGCCGCCAAAGAAAACTCAAAAAAACTGCTCACCCAATCAGTATTTTTTACTACGATGTTCACCTTATACAAGGCACAAAAGCCACTCGATGTAGAGGGTTACAAAATAAGACGAACAAGTTAACATCCTCTTGGGAGTAGGTTCCACAAAGCAGCGTTTTGTGAGAAGCTGCTGCTTTAGTGGAACTTACATCTCACCAATGGAATACGAAGGGAATGAGGGTAGTTCGCTACAATGGGCGTGGCATGGTGGGTCTTAGCCGTGAAGGTTAGAACTGGTGGAACTAAGGAATGTAGATCGTCTGAACACTTTATATGGAAATAGCAATAGAGCCTCGAGAGGCATGCGACGTTTTCTCTACGGGAAAGAGGTTGTAGGGTGGAAATCTATGTACCTGTATTACATAGGCGTATTGTAAAGTCACACGCAGCTAATTTGTGACGGACAGAGAATCATTTCTTCTTTTATAATATAGATTTACAGAGTTTAGATGTGACTGGCACGGAGAATAGTATATGAGATAAAAACTGCCCCTTTCACTTGTCCGTCACGTATTTTTCAACCTCGAGATTAAAAATAAAAAAATTGTGATGGGGATTTCATGCAGTAAGGTTTCGTAACCGTCAACCAACAAAGTTAGAGTTAATGATAGTACGGAATCAGTTGCTGTGCTCAACCTGCCATTGTGCCGGGGAAGATGTCAACGTGGCACCTGGTCAGACGAGTCACGTTTTCAGTTCTTTTAGGCATCAGTTGCTGTGCTTCACCTGGACCAAAGAATATTTCTATCGGGTTGGGAGAATATTGCCATTGTGCCGGGGAAGATGTCAACGTGGCACCTGGTCAGACGAGTCACGTTTTCAGTTCTTTTAGGCATCAGTTGCTGTGCTTCACCTGGACCAAAGAATATTTCTATCGAGTTGGGAGAATATTGCCATTGTGCCGGGGAAGATGTCAACGTGCCACCTGGTCAGACGAGTCACGTTTTCAGTTCTTTTAGGCATCAGTTACTGTGCTTCACCTGGACCAAAGAATATTTCTATCGGGTTGGGAGAATATTGCCATTGTGCCGGGGAAGATGTCAACGTGGCACCTGGTCAGACGAGTCACGTTTTCAGTTCTTTTAGGCATCAGTTGCTGTGCTTCACCTGGATCAAAGAATATTTCTATCGGGTTGGGAGAATATTGCCATTGTGCCGGGGAAGATGTCAACGTGGCACCTGGTCAGACGAGTCGCGTTTTCAGTTCTTTTAGGCATCAGTTGCTGTGCTTTACCTGGACCAAAGAATATTTCTATCGGGTTGGGAGAATATTGCCATCGTGTCGGGGAAGATGTCAACGTGGCACCTGGTCAGACGAGTCACGTTTTCAGTTATTTTAGGCATCAGTTGCTGTGCTTTACCTGGACCAAAGAATATTTCTATCGGGTTGGGAGAATATTGCCATCGTGTCGGGGAAGATGTCAACGTGGCACCTGGTCAGACGAGTCACGTTTTCAGTTCTTTTAGGCATCAGTTGCTGTGCTTTACCTGGACCAAAGAATATTTCTATCGGGTTGCGAGAATATTGCCATTGTGCCGGAGAAGATGTCAACGTGGTGACTGGTCAGACGAGTCACGTTTTCAGTTCTTTTAGGCATCAGTTGCTGTGCTTTACCGGGACCAAAGAATATTTCTATCGGGTTGGGAGAATATTGCCATCGTGTCGGGGAAGATGTCAACGTGGCACCTGGTCAGACGTGTCACGTTTTCAGTTCTTTTAGGCATCAGTTGCTGTGCTTCACCTGGACCAAAGAATATTTCTATCGGGTTGCGAGAATATTGCCATTGTGCCGGAGAAACGTGGTGACTGGTCAACGTGGCACCTTGGTCAGACAAAGAATATTTCTATCGTTTTGGGAGTTCTTTTAGTCATCAGGTCAGACGCACGTTTTCAGTTCTTTTTTAGGCATCCTGGACCAAAGAATATTTCTATCGGTTTGGGAGAATATTGCCATTGTGCCGGAGAAGATGTCAACGTGGTGACTGGTCAGACGAGTCACGTTTTCAGTTCTTTTAGGCATCAGTTGCTGTGCTTCACCTGGACCAAAGAATATTTCTATCGAGTTGGGAGAATATTGCAATTGTGCCGGGAATGATGTCACCGTAGCACCTGGTCAGAAAAGTCACGTTTTCAATTCTTTAGTCATCAGTTGCTGTGCTTCACCTGGACTAACGAATATTTCTATCGGGTCGTGGAAGATGACACCGGAGTTCCTGGTCAGACGGGTCATGGTTTCACATCTTTTAGGCATCAGTTGCATCCGGGACCTGGTGACCACCCAGTAATGGTGTCGAGTGTGTTATGTTGGATTTTGCAAGTACCTTTAGTAAAATTAGAGTCTGTCGTGAAAGGTGTGGTGTATACAGATCTTGTTGCAGACCATTTGCGCCTCTTAATGCTCGCCATGTTTGCCGGTAGTTATTTCTCATTCTATCAGGATAACGCATCCGACCCTATTGTACACGGGTGACATAAAAACTAGTTCCAGTAACACTCGGATGAATTCTAGATGCTCCATTAGGTCCGGCGTTCGCTAGATTTAAACATCATTCCGCATGTAAAGAACACGCTCCACAAACCCGACTCAGTTATGAAGAACTGCTGTACGTGTCTAGATTGATGCACCCACACAGCCACTCTAGCACTTTGAGGATTCCACTCTGCGTCGTGTTACCAATGTTATTTGTACAGCAGGAGAAGCTATCCGTTATTTTGTAGCTGCCTGAGTTTTTTTTTTTTTTTTTTTCGCACTTCAGTTTAAAAATCACGAAAAATTAATTCAGATGTAATGCAGTAAATGTTTTTTATTTCCCTGAATAATAAATATATGAACACTATATTCTTAATCTCTTCAGGGGGTCAATCGTTATCTATCCTCCTTATCCTCATAAACTTCGCTTTCTACCACCTCTTCTTTCATTCATACCACGCACTTCATTCATCGTAACCATTTTAACAGTAATCCTCTACCTTGAGTGACTCTCGAGATTTGTACTGAGTGAACTATAGTATAAAATTATGAAATGAACAGCGGTAGTAATGTATTACGAATAGTTTGCAACTCCTTATCAAACGTGCCACATTCCCTATGTATTTTGTTCCTTGAGAAATATAGTTGAAAGGAAATCCCTACCAAGTCAGTTCCGGACACTCGCAATTAATTTAATATAATTTAATGTTGTTTGCTTTTGTGTCGGCTGGTTGCTCAGTGGTGTGAATATCGAAACAGTAAATCTCAGCCTCTGAATTAAACAGTTTCATTTTACATCTGAGTTCGAAAATATCGACAAATCTGAAATTTAATATCACATATAATCGAGTTTTGGCAAAGACTGGTACGTCGCGGAATGTAAGTGATAATAGTGATTTTCCAAGCGTAGCTCAGATGTGGCACAAGGTCGAAAGTATGGGGCACCCAGTGAGAATCGAACTCACTACTCAGTCGTAATTGTTCTAGCTAAACAAGCTTGCTAACCATTACACTACCCAAGATGCCCATGTAAGTGATAATGAACTAACATCGAAACATGCACATAACAGCGCTCTTATTATCTGACTATGGAATTTCAGAAGTGTTAAAAATTTTGAGTGAATCAGCGAGAAAGATGTTAGATTCACATATAAATATTTCTGAGTTAGATACTCACTAAGTGCTTAACGAATCTGGAGCTGAAGCGAAAGTTACTTTGTTTAATAAATATTTGAAGAATATTACTTGAAAAATCTCAAAATAGGTTTGTTTTCTCAAAAAAGATCTCAAAATGGAATTACAGGATAAAGTGATGTGAATATTCACCAAACATTCTACAGTTTCTTTATCTCTTTCTCGTTTATTGGTATATACACTGCGTGCCAAATTATTATCGAGATAACTTTTTTCTAATAATTCAAAAACCGTCCAATCAATTCACACAAAATTTTCACAAATATGGCGCCAGTTTGTTTACATTGCGCAGAACAGTACGAAAATTTCAGTAATTGCGCAGGTCAGTGTTGCAAACAGTGCAATTCGCTCTCTTTTCCCATCTTTCCAGCGCCTGCAGCATTAAAGGCCACGCTGTTGAGGACAATTTCTCAAACTATGGCAAAGACGATCTTATTTTTTGTTCATCACCACTTTTGATCTCTTTCTTGTACTATCCAATGTTTAAAAATTCAAGTGTCAAAAAATTAGAGATATTTGTTTAATAATTTAGAGATATCCATTTAATAATCCATAGCTTCTCCCGTCACCCGAATAACAGCGGCTACGCAAAGTGGCATAAGGCTATGAGGTGCAGGAATAGTTGCATGCGTTTGTCTATCTCATTTTGCCTATCTCGGTACATTTCAGCGCTCTCCATAATTCACTTTTTTTAAATGTGGGTTCAGAGAATTTAGAGAAATTTTCAACATGTCTTGAACATGCTCAATAGGGTTTAAATGGAGCTGCTAGACGTCAGCCAAGTGTTTCTTGAAACCACTTTCATGTTACCTGTAAATGATGGAGGGTTGCATTATGTTTGTGGATCGGCAGAGACAAACTCCAGTTTCTCTAGTAGCCCTTGCACTCTCCAACAGAACACATTCAACATGGTTACAACGCCACCATCAGCTTGCACAACACTCTTTTGAGAGGCTGGATCTATAGATCTCGTCTAAACAAGCCACACGGTGTCCATCACCCA